AGAGGAGAGATCACAATGAACACTGAAGAAATACAATTATAAGACCACAGAATGAGCAAATATATGCCAACAAATTAGGCAATCTGGAAGAAATGGATGCATTCTTAGAGACATAAAGTACCAAAACTGAAAGAGGAAGAAATAGAAAACCTGAACAGACCCATAACCAGCAAGGAAATTGATGCAGTCATCAAAAATCTCTCCACAAACAAAAGTCTAGGGCCAGATGGCTTCCCAGGGGAATTCTATCAAACATTTAAAGAAGAATTAATACCTATTCTTCTGAAGCTGTTTCAAAGAATAGAAATGGAAGGAAAACTTCCAACCTCTTTCTATGAGGCCAGCATTACCTTGATCCCAAAACTAGACAAAGACCCCACCAAAAAAGGAGAATTACAGACCAATATCCCTGATGAACATGGATGCAAAAATTCTCACCACAATACTAACCAATAGGATTCAACAGTACATTAAAAGGATTATTCACCACGACCAAGTGGGATTTATTCCTGTGCTACAAAGTGGTTCAACATCTGCAAATCAATCAACGTGATACACTACATTAATAAAAGAAAGGACAAGAACCATATGATCCTCTCAACAGATGCAGAAAAAGCACTGGACAAGGTACAGCATCCTTTCTTGACTAAAACTCTTCACACTGTAGGGATAGAGGGAACATGTCTCAATATCATAAAAACCATCTATGAAAAACCCACAGCAAATATCATTCTCAATGGGGAAAAACTGAGAGCTTTTCCCCTAAAGTCAGGAATGTGGTAGGGATGTCCACTCTTACCAACGCTGCTCAACATAGTACTATAAGTCTTAACCTCAGCAATCAGACAATAACAACAAAAAAAATAAAAGGCATCCTAATTGGCAAATAAGTCAAACTTTCACTCTTTGCAGATGACATGATACTCTATGTGGAAAACCCAAAAGACTCCACCCCCAAATTGCTAGAACTCATACAGGAATTCAGCAAAGTGGCAGGATATAAAATCAATGCACAGAAATCAGTTGCATTTCTATACATGAACAATGAGACAGAAGAAAGAGAAATTAAGGAGTCAATCCTATTTACAACTGCACCAAAAACCATAACACACCTAGAATAAACCTAACCAAAGAGGCAAAGGATCTGTACTCAGAAAACTATTGAACTCATGAAGGAAATTGAGGAAGAAACAAAGAAATGGAAAAACATTCCATGCTCATGGATTAGAAGAAAAATACTGTTAAAATGTCTATGCTACCTAGAAGAACCTACACATTCAATGCAAACCCTATCAAAATACCATCAACATTTTCACAGAGCTGTAACAAATAATCATAAAATTTGTATGGAACCAGAAAAGACCCCAAAAAGCCAAAGGAATGTTGAAAAAGAAAATCAAAGCTGGTAGCATTACAATTCCAGAATTTGACCTCTTATGAAGTCTGAAGATGATTACAAAGCTGTAATCATCAAGACAGTATGATACTGGCACAAAAACAGTCACATAGATTAATGAAACAGAATAGAGAGCCCAGAAATGGATCCTCAAATCTGTGGTCAACAAATCCTCAACAAAGCAGGAAAGAATATCCAATGGAAAAAAGACAGTCTCTTCAACAAATGGTGTTGGGAAAATTGGACAGCCACATGCAGAAGAACGAAACTGGACCATTTCCTTACACCACACACAAAAATAGACTCCAAATGGCTGAAAGACCTAAATGTGAGACAGGAGTCCATCAAAATCCTAAAGGAGAACACAGGCAGCACCCTGTTCAACCTCAGCCGCAGCAACATCTTCCTAGAAACCTCGCCAAAGGCAAGGGAAGTGAGGGCAAAAATGAACTATTGGGACTTCATCAAGATAAAAGCTTTTGCACAGCAAAGGAAACAGTCAACAAAACCAAAAGACAACCAACAGAATGGCAGAAGATAATTGAAAATGTCTTATTAGATAAAGGGATAGTATCTAAAATCTGTAAAGAACTTATCAAACTCAACACCCAAAGAACAAATAACCCAGTCGAGAAATAGGCAGAAGACATGAACAGACATTTCTCCAAAGAAGACATCCAAATGGCCAACAGACACATGAAAAAAATGCTCAATATCACACGGCATCAGGGAAATACAAATCAAAGTCACAATGAGGTACCACTTCATGCTGGTCAGAGTAGCTAAATCTAACAAGTCAGGAAATGACAGATGTTGGTAAGGATGTGGAGAAAGGGGAACTCTTACACGGTTGGTGGTAATGCAAGCTGGTACAGCCACTCTGGAAAATAGCATGAAGATTCCTCAAAAAGTTGAAAACAGAGCTACCTTACGACTAGCAATTGCACTACTAGGTATTTATGCAAAGGATACAAAAATGCTGATTTGAAGGAGCATATGTACCCCGATGTTTATAGCAGCAATGTCCACAATAGCCAAACCATGGAAAGAGTCCAGATGTCCATCGACAGATGAATGGGTAAAGAAGATGTGGTATATATATATACAATGGAATATTACTCAGCCATCAAAAAATGAAATCTTGCCATTTGCAATGATGTGGATGGAACTAGAGGGTATTATGATAAGCTAAATACATCAGAGAAAGATAATTATCATATGATCTCACTCGTATGTGGAATTTAAGAAGCAAAACATAGGATTATAGGGGAAGCAAGGAAAAAAATAAAACCAGATGAAATCAGAGAGGGAGACAAACCATAAGAGACTCTTAATCATAGGAAACAAACTGAGGGTTGCTAGAGGGGAGGAGGGCAGGGGGATGGGGTAACTGGGTGATGGACATTAAGGAGGGCACGTGATGTAATGAGCACTGGGTATTATATAAGACTGATGAATCACTGAACTCTACCTCTGAAACTAATAATACATTATATGTTAATTAACTGAATTTAAGTTTTAAAAAATTTAAAAAGAAAGTATATACATTATTAAAATGTTTTAAAGTCAAAAAAGGGGAAGTTTCATCTTGACTTTCTTGTAATTAACTATTAATCAAAAGGCACAATTCATAACTTGATTTCTTTAAAGCAAGGCAAATCTTTATTCACATTTATAAAGCAATTAAGAGCAAAATTCATGTAGGATTTTTATAAAAAATCTTTTCTGTAACAGTTTGCATTTATCTTGCCCACACATACTATTATAGCAGTTTTTTTTTTAATTTATTTATTTTAGAGAGAGCTTTAGTGGGGGGAGGGGCAGAGGGAGAGAGAATCTCAAACAGACTCCCTGCTGAGTCAGAAGCCCGACGCAGGGCTCGATCCCAAGACCCTGAGATTATGACGTGAGCTGAAATCATGAACTGGACACTCAACTGACTGAGCCACCCAAGCACCTCTATTATAGCAGTTTTTTAAAAAACCTCTTCTTTATCAAGTCTTTCCAAAGCAATCAATTTAGTTTTCAAAGACATAATCACTCTGTCTTTTCATACTCATATTACATTGGTTTACCATATTTAATTAACAAAATTTCAAAAACAATATAACTGATAATGTAACTTATCCTTATTAAGCATTCAACCTAACCAGCAGTGTCGCAGTATGCAGATCTCAGAGGAGAGCTTATAAGCTGTGAATGTGCTGTGAGCTTCAGTCAGTACGGTTTACACAGGAAAGGCAGAACAAAAGTTAACTGAATAAATTAGTTAAGTGGAAGTCAGAACATACCAAAAGCCTTATTAACTTGCATCCCCTGTGACTCAGCAACTCTATTTTATAAATGTATTCTAATTTCTTCCTATCTTTGTGAATAAAGGGTTAGCCAAATCACCAAAGTATAAAATCAGGAAATCAAAAATATCTGAAAGTCCAGTAACACCAGATTGGAAAAATGAATTATAGTAAATCATACAGTAGGAATACCGTGCAGCTCTTAAAAGAATATGCAGGAAAAAAAAGAATATGCAGAAAGATGACATATAGTATGTATATAACATATCATTAAGGAATAAAAAGCAAGTTATAAAACAACATGTACTATAAAAACCTATTTTGGTAAAATATTTAAAGAAAAAAGACAGGGTGGGGTGCCTGAGTGGCTCAGTTGGTTAGCCGTCTGCCTTCAACTCAGGTCATGATCCCAGGGTCCTGGGATCAAGTCCCACATCCAGCTCCCTGCCCAGCGGGGACTCTGCTTCTCCCTCTCCCTCTGCCCTTCCCCCTGCTCGTGCGCGCGCTCTCTCTCTCTCACCCTCTAATAAATAAATAAAATCTTAAAATAAAAGAAAGAAAAAAAGAAAAAAGACGAGGAGAATCAAGTGAAATAATACAAAAAGCTTAACATGGTGCAGACACATTGTAGGCAATCAATAAATGTTAGATATTACTACTGTAATTATTATTAATACAGCGTTTGTAACAAAAGTTCACAATAGTTACTTAAGGTTGTAGAATGTGAGTGATTTTTCACCTTTTTATATTTCCTAAATTTTTATCACTAAATCTATGTTTTATAATAAGGATAAAAAATAGCCATTTTGTAAAATGTACTACACAATAAAATGGAAGGCTTTAATATAATCAGTTTATCCACATATTTCTCATTTATGCTTCCAAAAAGATCATGGTAGTAGAAAGGGCATTATCACAGAGACCTCTGAAAATTATTCCTCAAAATGCTGTACTTGGAATTGTGAGAAAATGTCCCTGTCCTGTAGGCAATGAGACAAATATGAGCAATGGCAAATTAGATAAACATAGCTACTATCATTATCCAAAAGCCACAAAGCAGCTCTGCTAAAACATAAATAAGTAAACTTCAGACAATTCCATTCTCTAAGACTACCAGTGAGTGGATTTGTATACATATTCTATGTGGACCCAGATACCAGTTTTGCCAAACATATCACACTTCAGCTGTGGTACCTTAACAATACACAGTAAATGAAAGACACATTAATTATGAACGTTTATAGCACTCAAGCAGATAAAATGAAAAATTAACATGCTATTATATTCTCTCATTTTATCAAAATACTTACACTCTTTGAATGAATTCTGGAAAAAGTAGTGTATGGGGCCAAAAACTTTGAGGATGCATTTTCCTTCGGACAAGAAATATGAATGCTTTTCTAAACAGAGAGGGAAAGATGAAACTCATCAGTAAAATTACTCCAGTGGAATGAAAGGCTCTTAAAGAAAACATCAGGATGATAGGAAATTCTCATTTTTCAAATGTACCCTCTCTAATCCTCCTTTGCCAGCTCACACTACCACTCCCCTGTAGATTAGCAGCCCTTTTACTGCAAAGGGCTGCAATGTAATTTGGTATTGCTTTGCTGCCCTTATCTTTTTATATTGAAGTAAACTCCCATAGAAGGTAAACCAACAGTAAGATACAAATGACATATATGAAAGCATTAATTTTTAAAAGAAAATCTAATACCAGTACTCTCAGTTAGCAGTGGGGCAAGGAACAGGATTAACAGGAGGAAACAGCACCAGACTCCAAGTCTAGCACCTAAAAGAGTAGTCTAAAAGCTAACTTACTGCCTACAGGAACTTTTAGGAAAAAATGTTAGACTACTGACATCTATAGTTACCAGAGAAAACTGGTAAATTATGGTACACTTATACAATCTGTAGGCCCTGATCAGGCTTGCGGTGCCCATTCCTACCTAGAACTTAAACTGACCATCCATGTTCATAGACTGCTCAGAGCCCCACAGCTGTATTAATTCCCCACATGTTTTGCTAGTCATTATAACATATCTTTCAACTATTGTAGCAAGAAACACTGGTGACATAGTTGATTGGTGACATTCAAATTATATCTAGAAAAAGATGTTAGGTTCAGGTGACATGACTTGCATAAGGCAGCCTTTGTAACCATTTAAGATTAAGTATGTTGGTGTTTCAAGGTAGCATGTATAGAGGCATAAAAGGCTTAGTAAACCCTTCAGGGATTCTTGCAATATGATAGTCCTTTAATCTAACTGGCTGAATACCAACACCACCACCTAAGTGTGCATCTCCTATAGGGAGCTGAGGAGCTACGCTTACCAAATGGCCCCTAACCTGTTATCCCTTCTGCAGCAGTACTTCAAAGTTTCTGGAAATTCTGCTGATCAATGAAAATGTCTTTAAAAGTCAAGATTTTCTACACCTTTTTCTAAGACTAATATACATACAGCAAACACAGGTCCTCACAGTTCTTTAGAAAGAACAATTTCAAAGTAATAACATTCTCATCACTAAAAATCAAAATGCTCTTATTACAAGTCTTCTACTCCTTTAAAAAGACAATTAGAGTATCTGTCTATATAAACAGCACTTTCTTAGCCAGCATATCCATATGTGGCTGCCTGCAGACTTTTCATTAAATGAGTTTTCACTTCAAACCCCATGAGAAAGCCCCATACAGCTGCAAGAGAGTTGACCTGAATTTGGAATTGCCTCCAGTACCCGAAACTAAAGGTGTCAGCTAAACTCTCCTGGCTTAAATATTCCTACCAGCAAGGATTCAGGGAACTCCAAGAACTTAGTGTTCAGGCATCTGTAAGAATTGGGTTTGTTCTCAGAAGACTTCATTTCTTTGAGACTAATTATGTGAAAGATTTCAAGAATTAGTAGTTTTTTCCTGCTTATCAATTGAGCAAATCAACTTTTAATCTATAAACAAACTATGGAGGAAGAGAAATGTTGAACTACCTTCCAATATCAGCAGTAAAGAATCATGCCATTAATGAAAATATTTTAGTGAAAAGTTGCAGGAGATATCAAAACATAAAATTCAGGGTGGGGGGGTCAGAGGAGGAGCATGGGCATTCCACACTAAGATAAAATTTAAAGTCAAACTTTTTTATCCTCCAGGATTAGGTATTTAAGCATAATCTACTGTTCAACAGAACAACGCAGCAACATCAAATAGCAAAGTGCCTCATGGCAATTAGGAAACAAATAAATGCTCAACCATAAGCACTTACTGTCTGACCCAGCAGGTACAAGGCAGAAATTAGCAACGATGTTGGAAGAGATAAGGACTGTATCAGGGCCTACGTACGAAGGGAAGAAAGGAATTCAGCACTGAGGCTGTAGATGGATACTGGTAAAACACCTGGGGAAAATGTAGGCTTGCAAGGTAGTGTTCATACTGGGAAGTTTATAGAACTGGTTTCAATTTTGGCATACAGTCTAACTAGCTTTGATTATTAGGGTTAATAAACCTCTTTCAGTCTGTTTGCTTATATGCAAAATGAAAATTTAAAATGCCAATCCCTCAAGATTATTATGATGAACAACTCACTTTTGTAAGATTTTACAGTTTCATTCATATGCAGTCTCACTTGCTGTTAATCAGTCTATAGGTAGAATATCATCTCCATTTTACAGATGAGGAAACTGAGGCTCAGAGAACTAAGTTCTTTGTCCAAAATCGTATTACTTAGTGTCAGAGTTAACTAAAACTTGAACTCAGATTTCCCAACAGTTTCTACTATACCATAGCTGTTTATGAAAAACAAATGCAAAATATATATAACATAGAGCCTATTACCCTGCACAGAAGGCAATAAATGAACATTTAAAGTCTCATGTAAAAAACAAAGTATCATCTATTCTTATCAGTATACCTTAATATTTCACAACTAAAAAAAATTTAATTACACATCTCACCGACCAGAGCATACTGACTGCAGAATGAGTAAGGAAAGTCAAGGATTCTGCAATACTTGGTTTGGCTATCTACTCACCTCAAAGACCAATGAGAAAAACTATTAAGTACTATTAATGTAGGTCTTCATCAAGGCCTAGCCAGATACATTATAAAAGCTTTGCTGTCCAGTATGGTAGATACTGGCCACATGAGGTTACTGAGCATTTGAAATACAGCCAGTGCATATAAAGAACTGCATTTTTTATCTTATTTAAAGTTTAATTTAAAAACTGATACTTGCCTCAGTTTTTGGAAAACTTTTTAAGTATATTTGGAACTACTTGGGTATGTGAATCTATGTTCTCAATTGCAAATTTATACAACCTAAATACATTTATCAAATATTTTCAATAAAAAATTAAAGTTTGAATTGAGATGTGTGGTAAATGTAAAATATACACGGGATCTCAAAAACTCAGTAAGAAAAAAGGAATGTACAATATCTCACTAATAATTTTTAATATTAATTACAAGTTGAAATATTTTAGATTTATTGGATTGAATAAAATATATTATTAAAATTAATTTCACCCATTTCTTTTTACCTTTTTTATGTGGCTCTTAGAAAATTTTAAATACATATGTGGCTTACATTATTTACCTATTGGACAGCACTGATATAAGGGAAGAATAAGTATATGCAACTAAAAGTATCTCAAAGTATATGTAACTACAGAAGAAGAAAAGACTCTTGACATCCAAAGGCAGTAAAAATTGTGATTACTATACAAACAAAATAAAGATGACAAAGATATATAAATAATAGTATAAATATTTAAAGCCGATACATGGGTACTACCCCAGTTTTGGACCCAGTGTCATTTAGAAGACATAAAAACCTACCTTGTTTATCTCATTCACAATAAATCCTTCTGAAGCTGTAACTTCTGGGATGCCATCTTGGCCAATTCCTTGACAAGTTAGGCTGCCATACAAAGTGGGTTTCCCTACATAGAACAAAAGAAGCATGTCTCAAGAAAATAATAAGAATTTAACACTGTTCTCCTTGAAGACTCAATTCAGGCACTTGTATAGATGGTAGGAAATTGGTTCATGAAAGAAAAGAAGGTACTTGTATAAAGTAAGGTGAAGTGGAAAAAGCCCTAGCCTGGGTGAACTTAATGTGGGAGGGAATATGCTCAAGAGCTAAAAACTAGGCACAAATATTTAGTTATAGCATTTGTGAGAAAGCTACTAGAGGGGTGCCTGGGTGGCGCAGTTAAGCTCCCAACTCTTGATTTCGGCTCAGGTCATGATCTCAGGGTCATGATCTCAGGGTCGTGAGATGGAGCCCCGAGTCATGCTCCGAACTCAGCGCAGAGTCTGCTTGAGTTTCTCTCCCTCTCCCTCTGCTCCTCCCCCCACTCTCTCTCTCTAAATAAATAAATCTTAAAAAAAAAAAAAAGCTACTAAAGTGATCTAAACTCAGTTTTCCTGACTGAAATGAAATTCTTCCAGGATGAAAGATGAAGATCAACATGCATATATGCATTTATCCACAGTATATACATATAATACATAGCAAAGAGTTAAGCTTCAGTAATCTAGAAAATTTGCTTAAGGAGAACACTGCTTTTGCAGTGATGGGGGCTAAATAAGATATCCTACACATAAACTGGTCAAGAACATTTGAAGATTATGAGCATTGTGCAAGGAGTCTGAGCCAAGAGAAAGTATGAAGCTCTCTTCTAAGGGTAGTAAACCCCTATCTCTAAAGGGAAGGTATATCAGTTTGGGCATATGGACATTACCTGGGGGGTGACAACTCAGCCAGGCTTCCCCTTCATCCTTCCTATGAAGAGAGACAAAAGACTAATTAGGCTCATTCAATGCTGAAAAGGATGCCACTGGTGCAACGGAGAAAGATCATATAATTTTCAGTTTGGACTGTACTTAGGTATGAGCCAGTCTAATATCTCATCCAGGCATAGATTATTATAAAACAAGTTTTATTTATTAAAGAAATATTCATGGATTAAGTGTTTAATGCATAGATGTCTATTGGTTAAATGAATATTCAAATATTTCAAAAATAGGGAGTTCACTATTCATTTATAAGCTACACAGCTTTGAAAAAATCACAAATACTTTATATTTAGATATTTATTGGGATTATTGTAAGCAAAGCCCTGTGCTAGGCACTTTGCAAACAGTATCATTAATCCTCACAATTTAACAAAATGCCTTTTATTATCCCCATGTTAAAGATAAAACTGAAGCTCAGAAAAAAGTGACTTGCCTAAGGTCACCTAGTTATCTGGAAAGCAGGAACTGAAACATGGGACTAGTATACAATGTCTGCATTCTACCAGCTCACACTGACTTTTTACATGTTTTAGAATGCACCTCCCCAATCTTCCAAATCCTTATTTTATCACTCTAACATTTTTAGGGTATAGTGAAAAAGACCTACACTTTTAAGACAGAAAGATTTAGGGGCACCTGTGTGGCTCAGTCAGTTAAGCATCTGCCTTTGGCTAAGGTCATGAACCCGGGATCCTGGGATCGAGTCCTGCATCAGGCTCCCTGCTCAGTGGGGAGCCTGCTTCTCCCTCTCCCCCTGCTCATGCTCTCTCTCTCAAATAAACAAATAAAAATCTTAAAAAAAAAAAAAAGACAAAAGATTTAGGTTGACAGTAACTCTCTATCACTTATTGGCTGCAAAATCTTGGATAAGTTACTTCCTCTGATTCCTCTCCTGCATTCTCTCCTAGGCACCTGGTGGCCCTCAGTAAATGTCAGTGTTCTTCCTTTATTACTTATCACACATTCTGTGTTGTAGTAAGTAATGTGTATTTTATTTTAGCTCACATAGTAAAGCGTAATTTTCTTATTTACAGAAAGCTATGTTTTCACCTTCACCATGGTTTCAATTTGAAAAACCCTTATTAGTATTAACACCTGACATTCAAGGCACTGCTGTACGCATCCTGGTGCAGAGTAATAACTTGCACAGTATATGATCAATAAATGTTAAATGAATGGTTTCCTATGCATCCCCAATTAAGCTGTCGGCTTCTTGAAGGCAAGAGCCACCCTTTAAATTTAGATTACTCATCTCAACTCCACACGCATACAGCCTGGACACAGTGGGTGTTACATTGTTTCCTGAATAGAATTGTCCAATATGTCTAACACAGCACTAGGCGTCCAAAGAGTATATAAAGATTTCATCATAAACTCAAAGACAACGTGGAGGTGGTGAGTACTAGGACCTTTGCAAATAACTAACGATTAGTAAATATTTGCTAAATGTCTATGACTTATTTGCCAAGAGTTTTCCTGCCTCCCAGTTTTCCTGTCTTTCTCCAACTCATTGATCCTAGTTCTGACACTGGGATCACAGCCGTATATGTTGCCTTGGCCTCGGGACAGCTCTGCAGAGAATGAAAACCAAAGACCATGTGGGTTTGCTACATCCAGTAATCCCTCAACAAATGATGAAGGTAATCCCTATCCTGGATTGGGTACAGCTCTCCTTAACGCAAAGACAACATGCGTTACCCTCCTCCGTTCCAGTTCTGGGCCTTCATTCACCTGAGGGCTTGGGCCCAGTCGCTCTGAATCCTCAAAGGCGCCGCCATCTTAACCCCTCCTCCACCTGCCCGCCTCTTCCGCTCTTTGCTGGAAGTGGGTTGTCAAAGGGGCCGCGACAAGGACTGGGGGCGGGACCTATACTGAGAGGCCACCAATGAATACGCGTGACGGGTTCCTCTTCTCCCACTTCCGCTCTCAGGTTCCCCACCGGAGGCTGGTTTTCGGCCCGAGGGTCGGAAGAGTTCTAAGTGCCTGCAAAAGGGACGCCGACGTGCTGGAACGCGCGTCCGAATTCTCGTGTCCGACTGTTCGGTGAGCACTGCGTACCGCGTCCTTGCGCGGTAAAACGTAGCGGGCACAGCCGGACTGCGGCTGGCTGCCACGTGCGCGCATGCGTCCTCTCGTTAAAGTGGGAGAGTAGCTGCAAGATGACTTGGACAGTTGAATTTCCCTGCTTTCCCATGCCTTCCTAGTCCAGGCCAGCTGCCGACCGTATAGCTTGCCCTGATCCCCAAGCATGGGTCTGCCTCTTTTTTTTTTTTTAAAGATTTATTTATTTATTTTGAGAGAGTGAGAATGAGAGAGAGAGAGAGAGTACGTGAGAGGGGGAGGGTCAGAGGGAGAAGCAGGCTCCTCGCTGAGCGGGGAGCCCAATGCGGGACTCGATCCCGGGACTCCAGGATCATGACCTGAGCCGAAGGCAGTCGCTTAACCGACTGAGCCACCCAGGCGCCCGGGTCTGCCTCTTTTTACTCCAGGGAAGACTGAAGCCGGGATGTGGTGGGGAAAGAGTACCGTGGCATTTTTTGAGCTCTGTTGTCATCCATGCGCTTCTCGCTCACTATCATATTAATCCTTACATTAATTCTGTGAGTTAAATATTATTAAGGAGGAAGCTAAAAAGATTGTATGGTAAGATGTGGTACTAGGATTCGAATCTGGATCTCTTGGCTTAGAATCCAGGGCACTTTTTCTGTACACTAATAAAAACTCATTTATTGAACTCTTTGGACGTGCCAGGCTTCTTACGTGCCTTATCCCTTTTAGCCTTCAACAATCTTGAGAGGTAGATACTATCTCTGTTTTTCAAGAGATTATGAAGTGATTTTCTTAAGGTCACCCAGTGAGTCGGTGACAAAACTAGGTTTCCAATCCCGGTCTCTTTTCAAAGCTTATTTACCCCCTCCTTCCTTAGGTTATACCGACTCCAAAGCAAATAAGTTTTGGGTAAGGCTATGGAGTCCTTAAATTCTTGTAATTTCCCCATTGCTTAACATGGCCAACAAGACCTTGCTATGATTACTTTCTCAGAGCGCCAATTTCATTTGTTTTACAGTTCTCTTCATACGCTATTCTCCAGTCATACAAAACTTTCAGTTCCTTTCCTGAGTCAAATCCTGCCTCAACCTGTGCCCCTGCTCTTCCATTGACTGGAAATATTCCTTCTCCCCATCTCTGGCTAACTCCTATTCATCCTTCAAGTCTCGGTTTAGAAATCACTTCCTCCAGGAAGCCTTCCCTGCCTGTTCCTGCCATGTCTGGGTTAGGTATTCCTCCAATGTGTTCCCAGTCTTAAGTATCTGTGCACACTGCATTGTAATCTGTTTATTATCTAGATTGTACGCCATTAAGGCAGGAACTAAATCAGTCTTGGTCACTCCTGTATCCTCTAGTGTAGTACCTCATACATGATAGGTACTCAGTGATCCTTTGTTGAATGAATCAGAGAGACACAGGAAAGGCATTAAAGGGTGTTAGTTCCTTTAAAGCCTGTCATGGTGAAATAAATGTGTAAATGCTGAGGTTATTTCCCTTCAAACCTTTCTCAAGTTCTTTCTGTAGGCTACTTTCTGCTGGGTGCTCTGAAGCAGATGATCTTGGAAAGACAATCCAGGGCAAATCCACCTCACATTAAGCACTCTCACCCCACAGACTCTTCTCTTGCCCTGGCCCATGCACACGCTATGCTACAGCCACACTGAACTCTATTTCTCCTATATGTCAAACCCTACCCATATTTGGGTACCCTCCCAAGTGTTAAGCTGTGTTCTTTTCCAACCATAGGAAAAGGCTAATAGGAGAAAAGAAGAGAAATTAATTCTTTTAGGGTGGATCCAAGACAGCTGCTCCAAAAAGGTAACATCTCACCTAATTCAAATTCCATTAGCAGATCCACTCAAGCTTATTTAGTGCTGTGATAAACATTCTCATATACTTTATGTCATTCCATTGAGGTCAAACCATTTTGCAGGTCTGTTCTCTTGCCAGGCCTACTGCCGATGGCACCAAGGTGAATCAGGCCCAGTATCTGTACTCAAATAAGCTTATAGTCTCCAACAGGAGACAAATGCATAAATAGGCTATAACAATGCAGTTTGGTCAGTATTATTTATAATAGTGGAACCTCATAATCACATCCCTACTCTAACCTTGCCTCCATTGATGTTCTAGAGACTCCCAAAGATGTCAACTCAAGGCCATACCTGGGCCCGACAGGTAAAGAAGGAAGATGAGGAAGAGGACCCGCTGGACCAGCTGATCTCCCGTTCTGGCTGTGCCGCTTCCCATTATGCAGTACAAGAGTGCATGGCCCAGCACCAGGACTGGCGACAGTGTCAGCCACAGGTACAGGCCTTCAGGGACTGCATGAGTGAACAGCAGGCAAGGCGGCGGGAGGAGCTGCAGAGGAGGAAAGAGCAAGGCAGTGCCCACCACTGAGACCCCAAACCACTTATCCCCAGAGAATGGCCCTGTAGAAACTAGCACCCAGAGAGATCTTGGGAAGATGTCCTGAACAGCGGAAGTGTGGGCCAAGAGGTATAAAACTCGGGGATTATCTTTGGCTAAGACTGACATTGAGAGCCCGGCAGCTGTGGGTTTGGACATAACTGCTGTAAAGAGCTGTGATACTGCTTTCTCGTGTGGCGGGGAGAGCGGAGAGTGTGCCATGAAAGCTTCGGGAACACTGCGAGAGTACAAGGTGGTGGGGTGCTACCTGCCCACCCCCAATGTCGCACTCTGCCCCTGTATCGCATGCGAATCTTTGCACCTAATCACGTTGTCGCCAAGTCCCGCTTCTGGTACTTTGTGTCTCAGCTGAAAAAGATGAAGAAGTCTTCGGGGGAAATTGTCTACTGTGAACAGGTGTTCGAGCAATCCCCCTTGTGGGTGAAGAACTTCGGCATCTGGCTACGCTATGACTCGCGCGGCAGCACCCACAACATGTACCGGGAGTATTGGGACCTGACCACTGCAGGCACCGTCACCCAGTGCTACAGAGACATGGGTGCCCGACACTGTGCCCGGGCCCACTCGATCCAGATCATGAAGGTGGAGGAGATTGCAGCCAGCAAGTGCCGCCGACTAGCCATCAAGCAGTTCCACGACTCCAAGATCAAGTTCCTGCTGCCCCACCAGGTCCTGCGTCGCCAGCACAAGCCACACTTCACCACCAAGAGGCCCAACACCTTCTTTTAGATGCAGAGCCTCCCTGTCTCCAGGAAAAAAAAAAAAAACTCTTTGGAAAAACCAAAAAAAAAAAAAAAAAAAAAGCTGTGATATTTTCATGGTGAGATGCCAAAAATCCTCACCCATCATGTTCCACCAATATTAAATATTGACTGATAGTAAAACAAAGAGTGGGGTTAAGGGATGTTCTTCTGTCCTACATCTTGGGTCAGTGTGCCAAGTACTGAACTGATTACATGGACGTTTAATTTTAAAAGTAAATTCACAATCTGAATGTAAATTGGTTACTAATCAGGTCTTCCATTTATTCAGTCATTGGCTCAACACACAACTGACAAGTTTTTCTAAGACCTTTCCATGTGCCAATTCCTGTGTGAATGAATAATATGATCTGATGTGATGAATAATAGGATCTCTTCCTTCATGTTACTTAGTCTGGTTTGAGGGGTAGAAATAAAACATTAGAACAACTAATTACTAGCCATTATGTAAGTGCCTTTATCTTTCATTAGTTGATCTGGATGTTTCATTCAGTCTAGTAGAAGGAAGAAAACAAATGGGAAAATAAACATTGAGTGCCTCTTATATGCCAGACAGATGCAGTCTGACCTCAGTATGCTACAACCCAGCAAACACACAACGTTGGCCTGACATTTAAAAGGCACGTTTAACAGGGGCTCCTGGGTGGCTCGGTCGGTTGAGCGTCTGCCTTTGGCTCAGGTCATGATCCCGGAGTCCTGGGATCAAGCCCCACATCAGGCTCTCTGCTCAGCGGGGAGCCTGCTTCTCCCTCTGCCTGCCACTCTGCCTACTTGTGCGCGCTCTCTCAAATAAATAAAATCTTAAAAAAAAAAAAGTGGCTGAATCCCATTTATGCCATAAAAAAATAAAAAGTCATGTTTAACATAAAATACAGATCTTTAGCTCTTAAAAAATGGAAAAGCTATCATCATGGAGCTTATATTCCTACTTGACAACTTGCTGGAACTGAGTAACGATTCCGCTTTTAGGTGGTTGTATTCTCCAGTTGATAACAGTTGCCATCGCTTCTCATTTTTCTTCCATGGAACTACATTGCCCATTCTGTTTTCTGTCTAGCCCTGTAAGGCACTGGGAGTGGGAAAGGAGTTGGAAGAATAACTCCTGCCATCAAAGCTAGAATGCAAAGGGGCGTATGCTCTCATCATCATCAGTAACATTTTCTTGAGCATCTATATATTAGAAGCACAAATCTGAAGTATTAGTAGGCCCTAAAACTACTTTGAGTTTTTGTGTTGGTGATTGGTGAGAGAAAGAGAAGAGGGGAGAAGATGAGAGGAATACCACTTAAAGAACAATAAAATCCAATTAGAATGGGATGACTCTGGGGCCCTGTCTGCTCAGTGCTGTGGGTCGTCAAAGAGCAGTGTGGACTGGAGCTGTCAGCAAGAATCTCAAAGAAGGGAGTTAGTTGAGTTGAACCTTTAGTGATGAAGGAAACATTACCTCTTTGTAACATATAACATAAAGAAATACCATCTACAAGTAAAAAGTACCTAGAAATAAGGGGTGCCTGGGTGGCTCAGTCAGTTAAGCGTCCAACTCTTGATTTTAGCTCAAGTCATGATCTCAGGGTCCTGAGATTAAGCCCCGTGTCGGGCTCCACACTGGGCGTGGAGCCTGCTTGAGATTTTCTCTCTCCCTCTCTGCCTCTCCCTACCGCCCCCCAAGCTTGCTCTCTCTCTTTTATCTATCTAAAAAAAAAAAAAAAAAGACAGTACCTAGAAATCAGTAAGAAGCAAACAGCCCAATTGAAAACAAAGTTAAAAAGTAGTATTAGCTATGTCTATTGACAAAAATCAAAAGTATAACAGCCAATATTGGTAGGGATGAAGAACAGGCACAATTACACTATTGAAGGGATAATAAAGCTACTGGAAGACAATTTGGTGGGATCTATAAATATTTTATCTTTTTAAAAATATTTATTTGAGAGAATGTGCCCACGTGCATGGGGGGGAGAGGCAGAGGGAGAAGGAGAGAAGCAGACTCTGCCCCATGGGGTTTGATCTCACGACCCTGAGGTCATGACCTGAGCTGAAATCAAGAGTCATCACTTAACTTACTGAGCCATCCAGGTGCCCCAGGATCTATAAATATTTTAAATATTTATATATTTACTGGCTGGCTCAGTCAGAAGAGTATGCAACTCTTGTTGATCTTGGGGTCATGAGTTTGAGCCCCATGTTGGGTTTAGAGATTACTTAAAAAATTAAAAATATGTATTTCAACAGCAATTCTTTTAGGAGCCCTCTTGACTATATTTTTATAAGATGTATATACTATTATGTTCACTGCAACATTGTTTATATAGTGAATAAATTCACAGTGTAAAACTCCATCAATAAGGACTATATTTGCTTACATATTCAAATCTTTTATAACAGGAATGTATCTCTGTATTAAATTTGTGTGAGTAAAATAGAAATAATAGTCTATGGGGAGGGTGAGTGGGATTCTAACAGAGAGGAAGGGCAGAAGGACCTCCCTAGCAGGAGGAATAACTTCCAAACTAGCTAAGCGCAAGTTTTGTGGGACTCCACTTCTAACAGGGAGCCAACACTGGGTGGGTCACAGAATGCATTTGGGCAAAGAGGGCTTTGTTGCCACTCAAACCTGTTTCCTCAAGTAAATGGGGATAATTCCTATTTAATAGGCATACTTAGAGAGTTATTTTTTGGCATAGAGAATTAAATGAGGGATAATATATAAATAGCAAATAATAAAAATTATTAGCATTTTTTGAACTATCACAACTATTATAATATTTATATGTAATATGTGTATATAATAAATATTGTTATATAACATTTATGAAGCATTTAACTCAGGCTGTTTTGTTCCAGTTTGCTCTCATTCTCTATGACATACTGCTTTCAAGTCTCACTATGCTACTTACTAGCTGTGTAGTTTGGGGCAAATTACTCAACATTTCAGGATCTGTTTTTTCTTCTGTAAAAATGCATATAAAACGTTCCTCATAAGGCCTTAAAAGTAATAAATGTAGACTTTCCTCATAAGACTTGTTGAAAGAATTAACCTTGGTAAAGGGCTTAGAAACAGTGTCTGGTACACAGTAAGCATTCACTAAATGTTGCCTATTAATGTAATTATTATTGTGTGCTAAGCACTCTCCTGAGTTACATTTTCTCATTAACTCCATTAACTCCCCTTTACAGAGGAGGAAATAAAGGTCAGATTGGGGGTTAGACTTTCAAGTGTGTCTTATTCTGAAGTCTATGCTGTTCTCTGTTCTATGCACTTATAATCTTCCACTGCCTAGTATGATGCTTAACAAAGTAAATAACTACATTTACTATGTAAATATTAAGGGTTTGTTTGTTTGGCTGATTGGCTTTTTTTTTACAAAATGGAGGTTAACCAATGCACATTGTCCACAATGTTCTAGATTGGCATGTTTTTTTAGTCTCTCAGCTCTGGAGCCCACAGCCATGGAGCTGTAATTTAAGGTGGTCCATGCTTGTCCAGAATAATCTATACCTACCTCTGTACAGAGGCTTGGTGCCCCCCACCCCCATCGTGGCTCTTGAGTTGGCCCTTCCCTGCAAGGTCCTTGGCTGGGGACTTGGCCTGTGCTCAGCACAAAGTTGCATGGTAATGTGTTTTACTAGGTGAGTAATAAGAGATGCCTCCCACTCTCCCTCCCTCAGGTAAAGTTGCCAGGCTAAGTCCTTGGGCTGCTGACTAGAAATCCAAAGAGAACTGGAGCCAATCCAGGTTGAAACCTTATACTTTCCACTCTATAGAATGATAGGGCTCTCTACTCTGCTCCAGCAGGGACTTAAAGCAGGCAGAAATGGGAGGATTCTTAACATCTTTAGCAGCTATCTTCTGAAGAGTTTTCATTCTTTGGAGCTTGGGCATCTTTCAGAGCCTGGGCGTTCTGTCTAAATGGTAACCCAAACCTTAAATGACTGGGAATGAAAGTTATTCCAGGGGGATTTATAAAAACTAAATGAATCATTTCAAATTCTCCAGGGAGATCACACATTTGAAGACAAAAATGGCACAAAGAGATCAAAGTATAGATTAAACCAGCATAAGACACATTGGCCACCTCTGTCTGCAGTGCCTTTCCAGCAGGTCTAGTTCTAGACACACCCAATGCATGCTCAGAGAGCTTTCCTTCCTTAAGTACAATTTACACCCTAGAAACAGGGGTCTCTGGGCATTGCTACAATGTCTCAATGGCCAAAATGTCCAGATTT